AAAAAAAAAAAAAAAAAAAAATCATCCAAAGAACAGTAGAAACAGCACTTAAACAACAGGACAAAAAAAAAAGTCCCCAAAACAGCAGTAAATTCACACACAAACAGCAAATTCAACGCCTGATATCCACTGCAGAATGTCGCCCAATTCATGGGAAGGTAATTCAGTTAATAGCTGGAAAAATCAGCAGAAAAATTTTGATAAAACAAGAAGGAAAAAACAGCCCCTTGAACTCACCCTAAGAAAGGACAGAACCCAGACCCAAAACAGCAGATTTTTTGGAATCTAAATAACAGAATTACGGCAACGCAACAGCAGCATTACATCTGCATAAAATAGGCAGAATCGGGCAGGTATTTATCCAGAAATTTCCAGAATATAGGGGCCAAATACTGAAACATTTAGCCAATAACAGAGTTGTAACCCGTGGCACTCACCAGAAAATCGGAGGCCAAAACCGAATTCTTCCCACACCCAAATCCAGCAGACAAGAGAAGGGGAAATCTGAGTTCGAAATTGAATATAATTCAGCAACCATTTTAATCAAATCGGAGTTTTCTAGTCAATTATCCATCTGAACATACCGAAATTCTAAAGAAAGGAGGTGGCTAGAAGAGAGAAATCATTGAACTCCTGGAATTGTTCTCTCTCGCTGAACTTCGAAGACCCAAGAGATCACGATCTAATTTTTAAACAATTAAATCAAAGAATGCGGATTAGAAGATGGCTAAAACGAATTCGAGACCACAGAATAACTCTCTGAAATCTTACCACTGTTGCTTGAGAACCTACAAAGGAGAGAGAGGAGAGCAGCGGTTTCTCAGATATGGAGAAACTCTACGAAAAAGGAAATATAAAAATAAAAAATAACTGAAAAGTGAGATTTGGGCCTATTGGTGATAGCGGTTTTGTGTCAGCGGTTTTACTAAAACAGTTAAATATGGAGGTTTGTTAAATTTATATATTTTGAAATTATTATAAATAAAATATTTGATAAAATTTTTATTTAATAGTTTGAAATTAATGGATAATGATTAAGATTTAAAATGTTAATGAATTAAAAAAAATTAATTTATGTAGTTTTTTGTACCAAATTATTAGTGGATTAAAATTTTTTAATTTTATTAATAAATTTATTCTTTTTAATTTTTTAATTTTTTATCATAATTTTTA